TGGATGCCAGCCAAAGGAGCGAGAGCTGTCAAGGGGCGCAAACATGTCCGTGCGTGCGGGCGGGCGGGCGGCGCTGCGAGACGGTGGCTTTACATGCCTGCCTGGCTGGTTCATCCAGGCCTGCTGCACCAGCAGATCTGTGGCCCGTAAAATGTCACTCACTCCCCCACCCCCAACCCCACCCCCACGCCCCCTGGGTAACATCTCACCCGGCCCAGAGCAACAGGTTAAATCATGCAGAAGCTAAGCATCTACTCCACCTTTTAGCCAGTTCCAGCCAGACAAGCCAGTTAAAGTCCCTCAGGAGGCACTGGATTCCATCTCGCACACCAGGCTCGTGCAGGCAGCACCAGGAAGGTGCTCCAACCCTGCCATGACGGCGGTATGTAGGTTTAAGCCCCGAAGCTGGACAGATCGGACCATGTGGACTTTCCCAGCTCATTATCTGCAACTCAGACCTGCCTGAAAGTCATCGCTGAGGGGATCCCGTCTCCCTAAACCTCACGCTAGCACCATATACCATCCAAACAGAGACACGTCTCCATCCTCCACCAAGTGGCTTTGAGAATCCGACACTGTCAGGCTTTAAAGTCACAGAAAGACCTCGCGTTCAGGTTTAACACAATCATTCCCCTCGCAAGCTGCTCAGTGAAGCATGTTTCCCGTGTTCTTCCGACAGGAAGTGGCAATTCTGCCATTATGGGATATCCCAGGATGCACCTCTGTCAGCAATACTGCCAGCGACTGCAGAGCAACAGCGGCAGCCATATGCTGGGGGGGGGGATCCGCAGGCTCAAGCCTCACCATTGGCTGGCCGTCCGTTTCCACGGTTTCCACGGCCAAGGGTCACAAGCAGACGCAAGGCACTCATTCTTATTTCATCTCACGCCCCAGGGATTCGCAAAAGGTTCTCATCTCCTGACCCGCATTAAAAATAAAAAACAGAGAGCAAACAGCACTCCGTAAATGTATGGATTAGCACTTTCTTAGCAGCGAAGGCATCGCGTCAGTGTGGAATAAGGCTGCACATGACACTTATTTGCAGTACTGACCTGGAGCAGATGAGAGCTGAGACTTGTTTGTTTGTTTTTGTTTCTTTCCTGCTTTGCATATTGAGAGCAACGTTTGTGTTACTGCTTGTTTATGACAGACAGGGTGGGGGGATTGGGGGGGGCAGAAACCTTCGGTGAAAAGCTAACCTGTGCATAACTGCGTGATTTCATAGATGTGGGGGGGGTGTCTATCCATCTGGTGCTGGAACTCGGCATTCGCTCCAGGGTGAGCCTGACGTGAAGAGTGGTTATAAATCACGCCTGCTGGGCCGTGACCCCATGCCCTCCTGGATCGTTACGGAGAGGAGTGGCTGTTTGGAAAGCTGCCACAGATCCACCCCTAACAACAATCCCGCCCCTGTATCATCATTCCTGCCCCCCCCCAATATATTTAGTAAATATATTGGTATGCAGTCATGCAGGCTGCAGCTCATCTCTGTGGGTCACTTGGGTCGGGACCAGCCATGCCAGGCCCGGGATGTGCAAGGGAGGAAGAGGCGGAGCTTAATGGTGGTGTAACCAGGCAACCAGGTCTGCCGGTCACCCATGGCTAAAGAGGGATTGTGAGTCACATGCGGTCAGTAGGTGAGCAGCTCAAATCTGAGAAGAAAATACCGCCAACGCGATATATGAGACCTTGCGGAAATCTATCCATCCATCCTTCTTCTAATCGCTTGTTTCTGTCAGTGTGATGGAGGGGGGGGGGGATCCGAAAGACGTGTAGAAGGTGCCGGATAAAAAACATGTCAGACTGCTGGGGGAATTTCATTATGGGGGGGTTGGAAACAGTGGATTAGAAAATCTGATTTACAGGAATGGTTGTGTTACATATGGCAGAAGTTATCTGGATGGGAATGGGTGAAGTACGTTGTGTGGAAAGACGAGGTTAAATGCAGCATTTAACTGGAGCAACAGCCTGTTCCCATTGGGAAGCTGGCCAGCATGCCCCTCCCCCAACTATCTTTGCTCCGCAAAAGATAGGTAACATTACTGAAGAGAAACCGTTTTAATTACATTTCTTAGGTTTGACATCATAACGAGAGCCGCAATTGGTCAGACATATTTTCGCAGCATGGCATAGCAACCCTATAAATGCAAGCGTTGTCATTTCTAGATCCCATAACATGCACAACACCACCGACGCATCAATGTTTAAATGGCAAGAAGAATCCAGGCAGGTGGACGATCAAAGCACAAGGAGAGGACAGGACAAGCCAGTGGCTGTCGGCCTCCCTGCGTTTGATCCATGAAGGTAAAACGACAAGCTTCGCTCTCGACCAAGAGCAGAAACGGGGAGCGGCTGTGCAGCGATGGGCAGCGAGGTACACTGTGAGGCCTTCAAAAGCTGTGGGAGAAGCCATTGGAACGCACCTGTCATTTACATGTATTACAAAACATTATCACTGTTGGGGTGCAAATTTCTTTGAATATCAAATGACTATGTGCTGGGGACTGGGTCTGGTCTGCAGCACTAGAATAATAAAGAATAATAATAAGAATAAGAAAAACATCCATCAGGTACTATAGATATATCCGGTACCAGTATCTAGTACCAGTATCCAGTATTCAGTACTTGGATAACCTCAGTTTCATAAAAATCTTTGAATGCAATCAAAAAATGCCAAAAGTCTTGTATTTAGGTTGGTTACTTATGGTTAAGGTTAGGGATGGGTAGAGGTTAAGGGTGTCGTGATTGGGATTAGGGTTTTTCCCATAGAAATGAATGGACGGTCCGCATTTAGATAGTGTGTGTGTGTGTGTGTGTGTGTGTGTGTATCCATCCTTCTTCCAGCTACCCACCACAGGTTTCCATTGAACCAGAAGCCTATCCCAGTAAACACAAGGCAGAGGGAACTCTGAGAAGAGGCCTAACCACAGTGACCCACGCAAACGCACACTAAATGCAAATCAGAGACACCGGTTGACCTAGACTGCACGTCATTGGCCTGTGGGTGGAAACCCGGATTATCTGGAGGAAGCCCATGCAAACTCAGGAGGGGGCAGGCAGAGATGCAAAGTCTGCGCTCACGCAGCTGCTGTTTTACGGCTCAAAAGTGCATCCTGGGCATCCTTTCTGAAAAGCGTTGCCGGTCCCTCCATTTCACCTTGTGGCGCTGGCCTCACCACACAGCATCTGCGCCCCCCCCCCCCCCCCGCCGCGCCGTAGCCACTGTGCTGGCTTGACTGTTCCGTCTACATATGCGTGATTTGGCTCATCCTAAAGAGGATTATGCCTGGTCACCGGGTTTGTTAAGCCCTCCACGATGACGCCCCCCCCCGCCCCCACATCCCTGACCCAGCCGTGTCCTTCCTCTTACCCACAACGGCTCCTTGGACAAACAAGTTTATTCTGTACAGCTCCACCCGAAATGTACAATATAGAAACCAAGACTCACTGGGCCGGGTGCCGCTGGACCACAGATCCCACGTTTGTCTTTGTTTGCACTACCTGTGTGTTAAATATATAAAAAAAAAAATGCATGTTTTAATCAGTCATTTTAATTTCTTTTGCTGTTGATCTGTTTTCATCTGTCTTTACCGTTGATCATTTTTGTGCAGCACTTTAGATTAACGATGGCTATTTTTAAATGTGCTATTTAAATAAACTTGACGTGACTTTTTGTTCGGCTGTATCATCACAGTTTACTGTCCCACTAAACATCCTCTTTTGTCATTGTGTGTGTAGCTCTTCGATCCCCCCCATCTTCTTTTTAAGTGGTATTTCCCAATTCGCCACATGCAGTAGCTCTAAGAAGTGGCAGGTTTTCTCTGTGATCCGCACACACATTAACCTGGGCCCAGTGACATAGGAGTCTGGGAATCCTGCTTACAAAGCAGCCTGAGCCACTACACCCCCCAGACTGGGGAGCAGGTGTGGGACCATCAAATTACCCTCAGAGTGACGGCTTCCTCAGCACCACAGACTGACAAATCTGGCCAGTCACACACACGAGAGGCAGAATGTGTACTGTGAAGATGCACAGATGGCCCTGGGTCAGGGTATTCCTGTCCCCCCACCAGAAAGAGGAACTGTACTAAGAGACCATCCAGAATACGTCCCATCATGGAGCCATCACCCTGCACACATTAAATGGACTTTGTCGTCTCAGGGAACGCGGTGAAAACCCATTCCCTGCTTCTGCTAGCCAATTATAGTAACTCTCTCTAGGGTAGTATAGCTGGGCATGTGTGTGACATTTGATTTGATTGGCTGATGGTGCCTTATGACAACGAGGTTCCCTTGCTTTGCTTTGGAGGCTTATTTGAAAACATAATGGCAAAATAATCAATCATTACTTACGGCTCAAGAGACAAGGGCTCAAGAGGCAAGGGCGCACCACAATGCCCGTATCCTCCACTAAACACAATCTCAGGAGCAGAACAATGGAAAACAGAATGGAGAACATTAAATGGGTCCAAAGTCCCATTTTAGCACACAGTTAAGCAGTGAACATAATAGCCATTTATACTGGAAGCAGCAGCTCTGTGAGAGGGGTCACAGGGCAGTCTGAAAGTACACTCTGGGAACGGAAAGGTACTCTGGTTAAATGTGGGTGTACTCTGGCCGCAATCCAAGTCTTAGACCCAAATTAAACGCCGGAGACAGCTGGAGCCGGTTTCTCGCGCAGGGCACGGGACCAAAAACAACGCAGCATGCCATGTGCATCCAGCCTAAATTACATTTCCTGGATAAACAGGGACGGCATTACACTTGAACATTGTCCATGTTTAGTAAAGTATATATGCATCAAAATTAAATGCTGCTCAGCTATGTGTTTCTTACATTAGTGCCAGAAAAGATGCTCTTACAAGGCTAGAAATTGTAATTAAGTAAAAAACCTGTATGATTATTTGAAATAAGAATTGCGATTTCGATTTGGTAGGGCACCTAGATGACGTCATCAGTATGCGTCAATAATATCGCATTTTCAGATAAAAAGATATATCATTCCAAAGTAATAACGTCAGGCTCCAAATCCTGAACTCTGGCCGGGTCACGCCAAAGGGATCAGCCTCTCGAACCCCATGCCAAGCCCGGGGGATGACCAGCACCAGGGGGCGTAATGGGAAGCATGACGAATACCAGCAAACATTAACACCAAAAGATCCATGGATCTTGCATTTCAAGTACCTGGTAAATCTACACACTTGACCGGTTTTGTCTTTTTGTGGAAATAATTATTTGACATTTACTGCCATCATTTTCCTCTCTCCAGAGAAGTAGGCTACATGAAATAAAAATTACTCAGCCTTAACGTCATAGTGCAATGCTGCCACCTCGCGTTATATTATATATCTCGTATATTGTGTATAAATAATTACTACTACTTATTGCATTCTATTTGTTGGAGTTTTCTGAACCAGCCCAGAAGTTGATTTTTTTATTTTGCTGTGGATGTTTATTCGATTAGACAAGGCAAAATACAGTAAAGGCATTACAAGTGCCCAGGACACTGTAATCGGGCATGCTGTCGGAGAAGCCGCAGCATTGTGTTTGATGTACGCGCTTTTTCATCAAACCTTTGATTATAATTATACATACCGGAGTGCGGGTGATTCCCGTAAAGCGTGCCGGTCCCCGGCCCCACGGCGCGGCTCCACCTCCCACGACACGCCGTCCTCCGGTCGGGGCGCGGACCGCCGCCGCCTCGTCTGCGCTACGATCTGCTGGATCTAGTTCGCCTCTACGCGGCAAGTCATTTTCCATATATATATATATATATATAAGTATGTTTTTAGCGGGTATCGATATGTGAGAATTTCCCCATCATTCTTTGCCCTTAATAATCAGCTATTTAGCAGTGACTCGCGATTTCTCCAACTTCTTTACTGCCTAATATATTCAATGCACGTTCACCCGTCAGAAGACAATTTACTCTGGATTTATCGGTTTCTCATTTAGATTTAGGCATACAAACATAGGCCGATATTAATCTCACGTGTCTGTCTGTTTATTTTGTTGATTGTGTTCACGTTTTCAGTACCCACTAACTGATGCGTAAATATAATAAGTATTTTCAGCCGGAATTTTAGCAGTTAAGTGCGGTTCCATCTCAAAGGCACGAAGGCATTTTTGCCTCTGAAATGATGTAAACGTATGGGAAACAGGCCTAGTTATGAAAATATTTGTCCCCCTTTGGATGTACATGGAACTGTCCGCTTTATTGTCGCTGCAAAGTCAGTAAAACCTACGTATTGAATAAACGCTGTTTAAAAATAAGAAGATAACATGGAATACCACGGCAGATTTAGCCGGAATATAGGTCATTTTAATTAAGAAGTCTTTTGGTATTGCTTTTATTGATTAAAATGTCAAAGTAACGTTACATTTGAGGGAAGTACATGCAAACGAGCTGTGAATTAATGATTTATTTTTTGGTGCCGTGTTTTTAAAGCACGTATTTCCCCCGCAGCGATCTGCACCCCACTGCCACATGGCTTGCAGTGAGGAGCCCTCCGCAACCCGGCTGCTCCTGCAACTCCACGGCGGGTTAGCTCGCCTGAAGCAGGACGCCAGGGTCAGTCTGCAGGGGACCTCGCACGAGGGGAGGGCGCTGATGGGTAAATGGGGCAGTTTGCGGTGTACAGCGGTATATTTTGGTATTGGGACATGAGCCTATTTAACATATGAACAAGGACATACAAAAGAGGAAACTCCCAGCCAAGGTTGGGAAAAAAACGTACAAATCAGAACAATCTAAATGCACGGCAGGGATGACATCTAATGTTTACACAGACCAATTATACAAAATTAGAAAAGAAGTACATAAATGAATTACGTTAATGCTAATCGCTAACATTATATAGGTTAATGATATTATAGGTATTAACTGCTTTATGATTTTGCATCGTATTTATAGAACTATAATATTGTTTAATTTCATTCAAGAACTGGAAAAATTTTAGGGTTGTAAGATGAGTATCCGATTTTGCTGAAACGCTTACTGTGCCCGACTACTGTACGCTTACGGTGTGTTCACAAATTTTTCCTTATTATTTCTATTGTTATAGCATATAATGGTTTGTTGTCTATTGCTGTTTATCTTTAGGCTATAACAAATACATTTTCCTGGTGTGGGATCAATAAAGCCTTATCTTATCTGATTTTATCTCATCTTATCTCACTTCTGTTGCACTCGACTCAGGTGGCTGAGTTGCTGGACACCTGCTTGGGGCAGTATCTCACTGCTCACCCGTTCCTAGCCCTCACCCTCATGGTGTTCCTCGCCATGGCCACAGTTCCGATCGGTCTCTTCCTTATGTTTGCCGCAGCCACCATTCTTGCTGCCAGCGTCGGGGCTGTGATACTGGAAGGTAAATGCGTAAAAGTTGTTGCAACTTTCAGAAATAAGCGTTCAAGTTGAGAGACCGCTGACTGGCAATTTTTTAATTTGTTCGTTGGCTTCCTCTGCAGGGGTGGCTCTCTGCCTCGGGGGGGCTGCTCTCCTGTGTGTGCTTTGCTGCCTGGCTGTTGCCGCCTTCGTTGTGTCTGCCTTCCTCACTGCCGTATACATCACTGGCTCCACTCTGCTCCACCTGTACTACACCCATCGGTATGGTAGGACCCGTCCATCTGGTATTCGAGTTAGTACCTGGGTCAAGAGAGGTGTGGAGGGTGGAGTCATTATTTAACGTAACCGGAGACTGCTTTGGATAATGATTCATCTGCAAGCGATGTTGAAACCTCTTGGCACGTGCGAAGCTCCTCACGGCTCCGTAAATGTTCTGACCCCACAGCCTTTTGGAAAAGAAGCCGCCGACAAGCGGAAGCACAGAGGTGAAGAAAACTCAGTGAGAAACATCAGCCTGTTTCCAACCGGGGCAGCGCCCCTGGCCGTCGCTAGACCCCTTTGACGGGGGCAGGTGCCCCAGTGAAATCTCATGATCAAATCATATGGGTAATGGGGGGTGGGGGGGCTGTGCCCCAGTACAACTTTATATCTACATTGCCCCCCCCCCCCGTCAGCATCTTCTGCTGGACCTCTGTGTCCTAGGCCCTTTCTGACTGCCGTTTCACAAGCAGGAAGTGACACGCATTGAGAATTCCGCGGGGACGCCCCACTGGGGGGGGGGGGGGTTTCCCAGGAATTCTGTAGTTATTGCCATTTATTTTTCACAAACCTGAATTGTCCAGAAACGATTTGCTGGGTAGATCATTATAGAGATTTTTAAATGATATAACTAGTGGAGTTGTTTTCAGGTTTTACTAAAAGGCTGTTTATATGTAATTGGAAGTTAAAAGCCAGGCAGCATTATTTTACAGTATAAAACTGTAAAATAAATCTTAGGTTTATACCATTGTTTTTAATGTAGTTTTCAGGTCAAGTATGGGGTTCAGTTTCTGAATGTGCTGTGGAATCCAGTTCTACTAATATGAATCCAGTATGTGGGAGTGTCGATATAAGATCAGCAGTGAGGAGTGTCAGGGATTTAGCCAATGGAGAATGTCATTCACATTCATTTCAGACAGGACCTGCAAGTGTGAAGAGCTTTTACAGAAGTACATTAAAGGAAAGAACAGATGCATTGCAAAGTGATGTTAAAATATGGCCAGAACCCAATTCTGAGTGTTTCTTATTGTTGTATGCAAATGAAACCATAACAGGTTAACTTGGGAATGGCATTTAAAATGTCTGGTCCTCGGTCTGCTGCTGCGAGGGTGACTGTTGCACTAGTTACTAAACTGCCATTCTTTGAAAATTGTGTTAGTAATTTTTTGAAAAATTCTATGGGTGCAAGACATTTGCACTAATGTTTTGGCTGCTAAGTTATTAAATTTCAGGGTGTTTTTTGACAAACAAAAACAATCTAACAGTTGTTTCTCTGATTACTTACAAACTCCATTTACTTTGCCTGGTACAAATTAAACTCCTGGAACTCAAAACGTTTCCCATAAAATCTTTATTGGAGGTGATCCCACAGCGTAACATGCAATGTACAAGAAACAAACAAAACAAAAAAGCTTTGTCAGAATGTGGAATCTAAATAATTCAAAATTAATTCATCACAAACTTCCGGGATTTAAAAAAAAAAAAAAAGCATAACTGTCCACAAATTGGCATTTTAGTGTCCCCACTTTACTGATTAATTTCTGCATTCATAAATTGACCAGAGGGAAGTACCAACCATCTCTCTAGTTATCCCAGTAGGGGGCACTAAACTCCACTTAAGCAACTTTGGCCCTGCCAAAATCCATCGATTTCATTCAAATCAACCAACTCAACATGAACTCTCTAACAGACCTAATCATCCATCAACAATGTAGCAGCCTTCAGACAGAAGCCACAAGCACCTGGATAACAACCCAAATCGCACACTACACACCGGAGCCTGTCATTACCCGAAAAGTCCGACTTCAACCAGCAAAATTAATGTGACACCTCCAGACTCTCCAATCAAGGATTCCGGAATAGCAGCTGGGTAAATTAAGTGAAACAAGGGCTGTTTTGGGTCAGTTACACAATTAAAAAAGAAAAAGCTATGTACAGCAGAAAACCCAAATGGACACAAGACTTTGATGCAAAGACATTTCACTCACGCTTTGATGGGGGGAAACAAAATTCTCGATCTCCATCCTGATACAGCACAGGCAGATTCCTCTTCTACTGAGGAATGTAGATCTGGGCTCCGTGTG